CACGTGGCAACACCAGATGAAAACGACCAATTTTTTTTTTTACCCGATCCGTTTTAAAAAAAATGCTTTAAAAATAATATTTTTCAGTTTTTTTTAAAGCATTTTTTTTTGTAAAAACTGAAAAAAATATTATTTTGCAAAATATTTTCATTTTTNGCTCATTATGACATAATATTATTGTGACATAATTATGGGAGACATAGAAATGGAAGAATAACGAAAGTAAACTAAAGGAGATTACCTGGGACAAAGTCACGTTAGAGCATATGCGTTTGAAGCAGCCAAGCGACGCGTGATTGTTTTCTCGCGAGAAGCATCGCGTCGCGCAGCCCAGCGCGAGAAAAGCTGGGGCGTTACGCGGGTCAAGATTTGAAGTTTTTTTTTTTTTTTTTTTTTTTTTACAGTTTTTACAAAAAATAAAATCAGTTTTTTCAGTTTTTTTAAAGCATATATTTTGTAAAAACTAAAATTTATTTTTTGTAAAAACTGAAAACAAAAAAAAAAGGAATTTGCAATATATATATATTTTTTCTCAGTTTTTTCAGTTTTTTTTGAAGTATTTTTTGTGTAAAAATTGAAAAAATATATATTTTTGTAAAAACTGGAAAAAAAAGACTCTCCTAAAGGAGTGGACTACATATGCATTAGTTTTAAAAAAATAAAATATTTTGCAAAATCTTTTTTTTTAGTTTTACAAAAAATAATGCTTTAAAAAACTGAAAATATATATTTTGCAAATTCCTTATTTTTTTCTTCCAGTTTTTACAAAAACAAATTCCAGTTTTTACAAAATATATGCTTTAAAAAAATTGAAAAAACTGATTTTTTTTGTTTGTAAAAACTGAAAAAATGACTTTCCTAAAGCAGTGAACTATAAGTGCATTAGTTTTAAAAAAATAAAAATATTTTGCAAAATCTTTAATTTTTTCCAGTTTTTACAAAAACAATGCTTATAAAAAAACTGAAAAATATTTTTTTAAAGCATTTTTTCCCAGTTTGTACAAAAAATTGTTTTAGATCAAAATATGCTAAATTTAGCCTTGGGTGAAAATTAGGTCGGATGGTGGGTTTATTAAAACGGATCGGGTAAAAAAAAGAAATGGGTCGTTTTCATCTGGTGCTGCCACGTGGCACTCCATCTAAAATAAGAGTATTTTTGTTCCAAAGTGTGATGGGAGGGGTATAGATAGCCCAATAGTATTACGATGGGTATTCTTAGACCATTTTCGAAAGTATAAAGGTATATTTAGCCATTTGCCGATAATTTAATCGATATACTCAATTAGATGAAAAAATTTGATTCCTTTTCAAATGTTTATATTGCTTATAGAATAATGCTAACAGTTCCTATAATAGCTGCCTCAATGAAAAGAAGTTTTTAAAAATTAAAATTGATAAAATCTACTTAACATCAATAATGTCTAAAGAAAAATTAAATAAGTTGACCATATTATCAATTAATTATTAGAAGAAATTGATTAAAAATTTTGCATCTTAAAAAATTAGAAGAATATACTTCAAATATATATATATATCAGAACCTTTTTTAAAAGAATTAGGGGTCACTTTAGGTGCTTGAGCCGTCACCCGTGACAAAATGAGTAGCTTTGGTATTGCTAAATGCAAGCAAGTCTTGGACGATTATGTGTAAAATTAATAAGTCCAGTCTTCTCCAACAAACATTATGAAAGATCTGTCGGATTTCAAGAATCTATCGGTTCGAGGCATAGTCAATTGAAGTCCTCAACGGTGGCAAGACGATTATCAGTTTTCCACATATTCTGCAACTTGGACCTTTCATGTCTTATGGCATGTTTGACCAAACTTTTTTTTTTGTCAAAAGTATTATTTTTTGTATTTGATCAAACTTTTAGAAGAAAAAAAATATTTTTGAGAAGAAGTAAAAGGAGTTTTTGAGAAACATAAATTTTTTTTTTCTTCCAAAAACACTTAGAAAAATACACTTTGAAGCAGTTTTTAAACGCTTGGTCAAACAATAATTACTGCTCAAAAATACTTTTCAAATTAATTAGTCAAATACAACTTGCTTCTCACTAAAATAAGTAAATTTTAGAATCTTGGCCAAACAGACTATTAATTAGAAGCCGTTGGACAACATGATTTTCTTCCTTGGTTAGTAGCCCATTTGGCCAAGCTTCTAAAATCAGCTTATTTTGAGAGCTACTTTTCTCAAAAATACTTTTCAAAAAAATATTTTTGGTGATAAACAGTTTGTGTTTGATTAATTAATTTGAAAAATACTTTTGAGCGATAATTTGTGTTTGACCAAGCTTTTAAAAACTGGTTCTAAGTATATTTTTTTTTCCCTCAAAAGTACTTCTTGGAAAAGTGCTTTTGGAGAAAAAATATTTTTTTCTGCTTCTCCTCAAAAATATTTTTTTCCTTCTAAAAGATTAGTCAAACACCTCAATTTTTGAAAAAAATAATACTTTTGGCCAAAAAATCACTTTTGACAAAAATAAAATATATTTGGCCAGACAGACTATAGATAAACGACCTCTTAAATCACTAATTTATTAGTAAGTACTTTTGTACTAAGGGGTAGCGCCCTTTACCAAAAATTTCTCTATTTTAGGACTCGAACTCCGAGACATCCGTCCTGAAACTTATAATCTTACCTAGAGTTTCTTGTTCTTTCAAGTTGTACTAATTTACCACTTAAGAAAATTGCCAAATCAACCAAGACTGTCAAATTTGTTTACTTGAAACTAGCCGCCATATAAATACACACGAAAGTTAGGTAAGATTAGCATTTCTTTGGACTGCAATTGGTTCTTTATCTAAACGAAGAACTAAAATCCGAGCTTTACTCACGTTAATTTCAGATTCATTCTCCCCTGGCGTTATCCATTTTGTTATGTTACATATGAGAGTTCCTTTAATTTGAAGCTAAATTACAGTTCCAAACATTAGTAAAATCTAATTAACCGAAGCGTGACATTGTTTTGTGATCTGGTGGAGATACTAAAGTTGATTCCTTTTCCTGTTCCTCAAACTACAAAACAAGCATATGAAAGTGAACTAATACCTAATTGTACTAAATTATTTTTCTTCTCTCTTTACTGAATCCCAAACAATAATATGATAATGATGTGCACAAATATGATCGCAGCAGCGCCTTATTCTTTAATATAAGCATATGTTTCTGCATAAATCATTCTTCAATTCCTCGATTTGCACCAGTCAATCCATCAAGATGTCTAATTCTAGTGTCAACTCTGCAAAGCCAGTTCACATATTATTTTTCCCTAGTGGTTTGGGAGTCGGACAAATGGTTCCATTTTTACGACTAGCTTCCGTGTTAGCTTCACAGAAATGTAAAATCACCTTCATCACAATGAAACTTGAAATCTTTACTACAACGTCGAAACTCATCACCAACTTTTTCTCCAATTACCCTGAAATCAAGCAACTAGATTTTCATATTCTTCCTTTGAATACCTCAGCTTCCAAAATTAATGATCCTTTCATCATACAAATTGATGCCATTAGTAACTCACTTCCCCAGCTCGGCCCTCTGATAGATTCTTTGAATGAACCAGTTTCTGCAATTGTCTCCGATTTTATTATTGCATCAAGTCTTTCACAAGTTTCTATTAATCTCAACATTCCCCTTTACATTATCTCAACGACATCAGCTAAATTTTACTCTACTGTAGCTTACCTTCCAGTACTGCTGTCCGAAAATCCTACTGCATTTAAAAACCTTTCAAGCAATCTCGAGATCCCAGGTTTAGGATCGGTTCCAAAATCAAGCATCCCTCGTTCATGGCTGGATGATTCACCTTCAAACTATGTCTTGAAAGCCTATTTGCTGCCAAATTCTCGATCTCTCCCTCAAGTGACCGGTGTTTTTCTGAACACCTTTGAATGGTTTGAACCAGAAACAATTGCTGCCCTCGATGAAGGAAGACTAACAAGTTCTCTTCCACTTGTTTTTCCTGTTGGTCCTGTGGGAAATAACAAGCTAGGAGAAGACAATCAGTTTCCATGGTTAGATGAACAACCTGCTGAATCAGTTGTTTATGTTAGCTTTGGTACTAGAGAGCCGATTTCTTCACAACAATTAAGAGAAATAGGGAAAGGACTAGAGATATGTGGATATAAGTTTATATGGGTGCTAAAAGAAGAGCTTCTGGAGTTGTTTGGAAGTACAGTCCTGGATGAGATGGAAAAGAAAGGGAAAATAGTGAAAGCAGGGGAGTATGAGGAAGCCATTATAGAACATCCAGCCATTGGACTTTTCATGAACCAGTGCGAATGGGATTCAGTGATGAATGCAGCTTGGTCAGGAGTACCAATTCTGGCATGGCCACAACATGGTGATCAAAAGTTCAATGCAGAAGTTGTAGAGAAGGCGGGATTGGGGAGGTGGGTAAAAGAATGGGGTTGGGGCGAGGAAAATCTAGTAAACGGTGAAGAGATGGCAAAGATGGTGAAAAACTTGATGGGAGATGTTGATATGAAGGTTAAGGCTATGAAAGTGAGGGAACAGGCTAGAAAGGCCAAGGGAGTCGGAGGGAGCTCTGAGAAGAGGCTCAGGAAATTCATCGAAACGTTACAAGCAGAAGAAAAATGATGTATCTGCACCATTATTGGAAAGCTTGTTATCAACACTTCCTCTCAATTCTTCCTTTAGTTGTATAACTTATTGTAAATAGAACTTGTATGTTGTTAAAGCCAAAAGATTCGCAGAACTTAACAGACCATAACACATTGTCAAAATAAAATAAAGCTTATCCAGTTACCTCAAAACGTTAAAGAAGTAAAAGGAAAGATGGACAGGGATTCTGGAGAGAGTTCTGGAAAGAAAAATGCTGAGGAAACACCTAAGGCATTCAGAAAGCATATAAAAAGTACAGAAAATACAGTCAGAAGAGAACACACAAAGAAAGCAAAAGGATATGTAGAATTATTCGCCCTTTGGCATAAATTCAGATGCCCCCATATGACTAAAACTGCACGGAACTACCATTTAGTTAGACATTGTTCTTTGAAATAACATCAAAAGATATTCCATTTTGTTGAAGCCTGTCTTGGAGGTCTGTCGCGCCAAACACAATCCCAGGGGGGAAAACACCTCCCTTTGGAAGATTATCTCGTTCCTTGAGCAAAATGAGGGCACACTGGACAAGAATGATAGGAGTTGTCAAATAACCAATCTCAGGTCCCATTACTCTTGTAATTATCTCCGTATCGGGTTTCCTGTTTCCTTGTGATGCAAGACTGTCGTCACTAAATCCATGTCCAACAAACCACATCTTAAAGGTAGCACTTGCCACTTCATCTTCAGTTGGACCTTTTTTCCTGAACCATCCAAGACTGAACAATGAAGGGAATTTCAAGAGCAGCCATCTGCCGATACCAGTTTTACCAAAGAGACCAATGAAAACCCCAACTGTAATGAAACGAATAACTCCTAACAGAGATTTCGAAGCTATCTTCACACCAAAGTGCGCTGGCTTTATGGTTGACCAAAAAGCCTCCCTCCTCTCAATCTGTTCAGTGCTTTCTTTAACACCAGGTAAACCACCAGGATTTTCAGCCAAACATGAAAGTGTTCTCCGCACTACAATTGCATCTGCTGATGGTAGCTTTACAGCCCAAACACCAACTTCCTTTAGGTGGTCCAGCAATGGACCTTTAGGAGGACGAGGACCAGGAATCTGAGACAAACAGGAAAATATTAGAGAGTGAGAGAGAGATAAAATGTTTCGCAGATCTAATGTGTTATTTAATAGGGAAGGCATGAATGATGTTGTCCCCATAGCTGCGTGGTACATACGTATGTCCATGTGCAATGTAAAATTTAGCAAATATAGCAGGTATCACATATATAGAGTCCATTTAACAATTAATCTCTATTACATACTCATTCATGTCATATACATCGATCATAAAGTTTATAAATCCCCATCATCTACTCATCCATGCCACCAGAAATCAACCATAAGGTTCATGAATCCCCATCATTCACATAAATATGCTTATCCATCATAAGGTTTATGAATCCTTACTGTATACTCATCAACATCATCAAATATTGACTACAACATGCGTCCTACAGAAACAGTTAAATTGGGTTCTCAAAGTTCCAAATGTAAAATACATTGTATAACATTCTGCAAATGAGGAAAACGACCGTAATGTAATTGACTTTGGATTTTGACTAAAATTCACATGTTTGAACACATAATGACCAATTGACTTCTAAACTGTAAAGGATCAATTGCTTCTTAACCTGCAGCATTGCTCTCTTGGAACAAAAGAATAGTGAAGATAGAAAGTTATGCAACGATTTGACATATGTTGTTGTTTCAAGCCTTCCCAGGGCAGAGCATATAATCGTTTCTAGGTCTCTGCATTATTTCCACTGCATTCAGATCTAATTCCACTAGTTTTTCTCATTATTCATGCAATCTTTTTAAAGGACAATCATTTCTCAAATTAGCATCCTCTCTGCAGCCTATGTACCATCACTCCCTGCCACCTAATCGGCCCACCACAAGACTAGATAGTAGTGCTGCATCAAATAGTTGTTGGCTGTGGCAAGTAGACTGATAGAACTACTTGTTGTAAATGTTTATCTGTGCGTGCCTCAATTAGAAGAAAGAAAACAGAAAAGAAAACACGAAGCATGAAACTAGAGATTCTCATGGCAGTAGTCACATTTTAATACCACTTACAGATTACAATCCAGCTGTTTTGGGGTCATAAGAACAGATAACAATCTACAATCCAACTTTATATTAATCCATCGTCCCATGATACAAGATTTAAGTGTCAACTGGTTAAAATCAAAGAGGGATTATTGCCTGCTAAAAGCACACTTCCGGTACATCCGTTTCCATTTCTTTTGATTCATGCTATCTAGTCGACCATTTAAATTTACCTAATATTTTCCCCACAAAGAATGCAGGAGTTGCCAGAAACCGTGAATTATGGCAAGCCAGATCTAAATTTATGATTAACACGTAAATGTTGGTTATATTTTCTCCACATTAGTGTAAGGGCTTCAAAAAGGGGTTCATATAAATCTTGAGCTAGTCCACCCATAGCCTTCAAGGTTTTGTGTTGGATGCTCAAATTCGTTCGCATGGTATCAAGTCAACATTTGATAAGTACATTCACATGCTCGTAATCCCGCGTTCTAGTCCACAAAGAGGGTGTAACGTTATATTTGTCCTACATGAGCAGTGTACTTTCAAAAAAGTTCATAGAAGTCTAGGACTCCTGCAGGCATAGTCTTAAAAGTTTTTTGGGTTGGATGCATAGATTCTTTCCAATCAGCTTCATTAAGAATTTGTAAAGATCTTCATACATATTGATTCACATTTGACCCGTGTACCAGTGTTGAGAAGGGTATTACATAAAAGAGACTAGATGTAGAAGGGTAGTTTAGTCTATTTAACTGTAGAGTATTAAGTAATGTCGGATAGATGAACTAGTTAGAATTAGTTGATGTATATATGTTTGTACTGTCAGTTACAGTAATAACATAATTCATTTTCCCCAATTATTTCTCTCTCTAAACTCCTAGTGCTCTCTCGTCTCTCTTTCTGCTCTCCATTTCCAATTAGGGTTCATCAGAATTGATCCCTTTGATTTCATCATGGTATCAGAGCCATGAGCTTCAGATTCGAGCTCGTGGATTCGATCTCTATTTTCTGCTTCTAATCTCTCATCAATCAGTTCTCGTTCTTATCTCTAGCTCAATCTTTCAATTTCAACGGCGATTGAAGATCTCGACCACGCCTCTGCAGAAACTACTTCAAAGGCATCGTCTGATGATGAATTTGAAGAAGGAATTACAGTTGCAGTTACTCTCTCTATCTTGCCCCAGGGGATACCAGTGGCATCTCTCTGATCTCTTTCTAATTGACAAGCTCCGATAATTACTCAGTGTGGTATCGCTCTATGTGAATTGCTCTGTTAGGTCGGAAGAAGCTCGGAATGGTGGATGGAACGTGGAAGGAGAGATTTCGCAACAAGTACTGGTATCAATGGAAAAGGTGTAATGCAATTGTTCTGTCATGGCTAATGAACTCTGTGGCTCCAAATTTAGTGAGCGGTATTGCTTATGCAACAAATGCACATGCCGTCTGGGAAGATCTTAGAGAAAGGTTCAATAAGGTCAATGATACTCGTTCATTCAATCTACACAAAGACATTGCAACCCTAACACAAGGTAACTCATCTATTTCTGTATATTACTCAAAGTTAAAGGACTTATGGGATGAGTTTGATGCCCTAATGACTTCCCCTGGATGTGATTGTCCAAAATCAAAGGATTTCCTTGTGTTTCTTCAAAGACTGAGAGTATATCAGTTCCTCATGGGGCTTAATGACTCGTATATGCAAGCTAGAAGTCAAATTCTATTAATGGTTCCCTTACCTAATGTCAACCAAGCTTATGCCGTGCTTATTAGTGATGAAAGCCAAAGGGCTATAGCAGCTACTACAGGTATCCTTGGAGCTACTCCTACTGTGAATATGAATGTCAACAACTTTGAGTCCACAACCCTATATAGCTCCAGACCTGGCAACAATCAGAAGTTTAAGAAGAATTACAACATACAATGTGAATTTTGCAAGATTAAAGGGCATAGTAACGAGAACTGTTACAAGATTGTAGGGTATCCTGCCGACTTCAAGTTCAAAAAGAAGAGTGGTTCAGGAGGTAATAATGCCTATAGTGCCTTGGCTGAGTGTGAAAACCAAAGCCCTACTGATAGCACATCCCCACAGAAGCCATTTACTGGGCAGAATATGGGCAGAATGAGTGCTCCACAGATGGCATATACTGGACAACACATGAGTGTGATTGGTGCTCCTCAG